GTAAAAAGAAATATGACAAGATCCGAGTATGACAAGGCTGTCACTACTCTTTTTGTCTTTTTCTTGAATTCTTTATGTTACAAGATTAAAATGTATCACTAATAAAATGTTGAAAAGGAATAACAATAAAAATATGGAAGAAAAATTCAAGGTCACATTTGAACATGAGATTTAATGGTTTAAAATTATTTTAATGAAATTTAAGGTTAAGCAAATGAATCTCACAACATGGTTTCATGTACATTTCTTATAATTTTTTTTATTAAGAGTCTATTTGAATAAATAATGAGATTTATTTTAATAAAATTAAAAAAAATAATAATAAATTTAAAATTAATGATTAAATATATATTTGAATATAAAAATTACGAAGAAGATTAGATAAATTATAATAAAAAACCATTAAAAGTAAATAAAAAATAAAAAGCCAAAAATTGTTAACTTAAATCGAAATGACAAAAAGAGCATATTCAACTCCTTTGTGGCTCTAGTGAGAGGAGGAGAAATATGGAAAAAGAAAAATATTGAAGCTAACGTTGGTAGAATGCAATCCTACCTATCAATGAACAAATGGAGGAAATCACACTACGCCACAATAGTAGTTGGATTTCAAAGCTGTCATTTGCGCAATTTTTCATAATAAAAGCACTGTGACTGGAGCTGCTTTTGATTCCAAACTAAGGTTGGGTTTGCTGCTTGATCCGGTTCAACTCAGGCTGAGCTTTGAATAAGGTTTTTAGGTGGTATGAGAAAACACGGATTACCATTTAATTAAAAAAGTTAAATTTTATTTAATTTTAGTTTTAAAATACAATTAAAATATTCATAAATTAGTATTTTAATATATATTTTTTAATTTGGGCTCTCAAATCTTAGAGTTTTGAAAATCAATCAGGTAATAGTTTTTTATCAAATATTGCAACAAATATCTTGTGAATAATTTTAATGTGGCCAGCAACTTATACCAAATATAAGACTTTTTTTTTTTAATTTGTCATACAATTTTCATTTTTTTTGGGTAAAACAAGTTGTAATCAAAGATTGCAAATTTAGTAGAAAACATAATTTAGTTTACAATTATATATATTTATATTTCTTTGCCAAATAAATTTTAAAACTTTGTTCAAAAAGGATTACAAGAATTATCTTTCACTATTTTACCCACATTGTGTTAGAATTTGGAGGGAATAATCATGGAAAAATTATGCCCATCATAATTGTGACAAAACCTGTCTTACCAGCTAAAGGTGTCAATTCAAAGAAAACGATCAAATAGACATTGATTTCATTGAAGAAAATCCCAAAATGGGGTAATCATGTTTTGGGATTAGACCTAAGTGGATTATAATCCACACATCATTAATCAATTGGAAAAGTTCCACTTGCTATATAATCTGAACTACGAAAAGTGAAAAAAAAAAAAAAAAGGGGGGGAAAAAAGTTGGAATTTAATTAATGACATTTCTTGGAAGGATTTATCTATGGCCGCCATGCCCTAAAATTAGTGGAGTTACTGATTCTAAATGTTCCATCAATTCCTTTGTCAAATTATTAAATAGCATCATAAAGAAACTTTCCTAAGAAACAAATGGCTAAAAATTTTTATCGTTTTCTATGGAAATGAAGGGTACAAATTTATTAAATTTTCTATCACATCTTCTCATTTAACTATATTACTAAATCCAAACCCTCAATCTTGAGATTGAATTATATTGTTTAATAAAGATAAACAAAAACCAAAGCAAATCTAACTTTGATCAGATTGGTTTTGTCATTCCTTCGGGTGAAAGGGTAATTAGTAGGTTTAAGGGTCGAATCTCAAATTTTACACTATTTGATAATTTTTTAATGTAATATTACAAAAAAAAAAAAAACATTTTCAGTCTTACTAAAAGAAAAATATCTGAGAGATAGAAGGCATGAAGATTGGAGATCTTTACCAAAAAAAAAAAAAATGATGGTCATGGATGACCACATGTACCTTTGAAGAAGGAACTTATCGTTTTGTGAATTAATTTCATTCATCTTGTACTCCATAATTGTTTTGTTTCTTACTGAAAAAAATTTGGAATTTTGTCTTTTGAAATTTGAAAATTACATAGAAAAATATCTTTGGTGATATAATTAAGAAATATGCTAATTAAAATTCATCTATTAATACCCACAAAAATATTAATTGGAATTACTTGTTACAATTAGCCACCCAAATGTAACAAGGACAAAATCAGATTAGAGGCCTAAATCAATTTGAATGGTCAATTTCACAATAAAAAAATGAAAAGATTGATGAGTAATTTGCTAAGAGATAGAATAGATAATGTTTAACTTGTAGCTTTCATTTGAGGCATTCACTGTTCTTTGGAATTGGCATTTTATATAACTTTAATTACTAAAATTGGAACAGAATATAAAATAAATTACAATGTTTCAAATTAAATTTTTTATCTACTCTAGTTGAAACTTTTTTTTTCCTCTTTCCCTATCTCCCTATATCCTAATTAGAGAATATTTTTGGTTTTTTTTTATTTTACTTTTTTTGAAAGCCAACTTTCATCATATTAATTTGAATATTTGTTTACTTTAAGCCCAAGATCTCTCAATATTATTTAAAAAATGGCTTAAAAATATGAATTTAAAATTCTTTATTTATACCATAAAATTCTCTCTAATTCCAAATATACTATATGACATTGGACTATTACATTTTTATTGTAAAAAATGTTTTATTTCTTTTTCTTGGTCCCACTATTTTTCTTCTTTCTCTTTGTTCTTTTTTGAAAAACTATGATGCCTAAGGAAAACCCTAGCAAAAATGTTAATCACATTTAAATTTAGCCTTTTTTGTACAAGAAGTCAATGCCTCAATCAGAATAATTAATCACTGCCACCACATTACAATTTAAAAAAAAAAAAAATCTGTTTTTGAGTATGAGCTTTCTTAACTATAAACTTATCTCATAAACTAAAATTTTTATCTGATATGACTTGAAAACAAAATTTTACTGCTAAAGTACTACATGACACAAATACCTAATTAAAGTATGCCTAATAAATTTGGAAAAAGCCATAAATCAAATTCATATTCTTATATTTCGTTTTTATGTTTCAATTCAATCACACTTTTTATTTTTAGCTTGAAATAGAATCTGACTTACTCTTCCTTTTTTCAATTAGGAAAACTTTCATGAATTAAGCATGGAACGATGATGCAATAACAACAAGACCCATGCATAAAATTGGTATAAACAAAATTATAAGAAGAAAAAAAATTGTTTATTCAATTATGTAGAGTTATAATTGATAACTCTTTGTAAGTGAGTACTTTTATTGAGAAGAAATTAGGTTGCTGCATTTTAAGTTTAGATACAAGATTAGTAATTATGTAAATTGATTATGAAACAATATCTAGAGAGTTTTATGATGATACCTATAAAGCTTAATGGTGAAATCAAACCAAAGTTATAACTAATTTATTTGGTAACAAATTTTTGATATGGTTGTATCAAGAATTTTAAATTAAAATTTATTTTTCACTAGAGATTAGATATTTATGAAAAAAAAAATAAATTGACAATGTTAGTTCCATGGTTAAAGAGAAGAATTCTCTTTTCCTTTCAATCATGTAAAATATTTCGAGAATAAAATTTCAAATGTGATAAATCAACATGAAAAAAATGGTCAAAAGATCATTTGCAGATACCCTTAACAATATTAAAAAAAATTATAAAACAAAATGAGAGAACTACTTTTCATTCATTGTATAATTCAATTATACTAATATATAAAACATCATAAAAAACAATAAGTGAAGATGATAAAGCCCTACATTGCAAGAACTTATCCGATGTCCTAAAGCAAAGAATTACCGTAATAAACCTACCCTGCGCTAGTCAACAATAGCATAATCTATTGATAAAATTTAAAATGTTAATTTTAATGATAATAATTTAAATTCTAACATCTTCTAAATAAATAGAAAAAACTTACTTTGCACTATAAACTATAAGGTATAATTTCAAAATTTTGGGTAATATTTGGTATGGGATAATCACTCAAAAAATTATAGTAATTACACATGATCATTAAAGTATCGTGTTTAATAATCACTTAGTAATAGTATATGATGGTAATCTTAAATCATCAAGAGTGATTAAATTATTATTTTATAAGATGATCTAATTTTCATTTAAAAAGATAAAAAAATTTTATGACAAAAAATAAAGTAGTATATAAAACTAATAATAGTTAATATTATTCATTTAATATGTAAATTAAAAATTTACTTCTTATTAATATTTTATATTATAATTTTTATGTCCTCAAATTAATATTTACTATAACAAGTTCAAAAATATTTTATATGATTTTTTAAAATTTTATTTAAAATATAATCTTTTGATTTTAATATATTAGTTTCATTTTCTAATTTAAATTTTTTTTACATAATTTATACTATAAAAATTAGTTTGTTATCAATAAAAATATTTTTAATTTAATAATTTAATTATATTTATTATGAAATAAATAAAATATTATTAATAATTTATATAAAAATTATTATCTTTAAATAACACAAAAATTATTAACTTCTATAACTATTATAATATGTATAATTATTTTAATATTTTTAAATAAAATAATATTTAATTTTTAATAATATTAAATATAATAATTTTTAATTATTAAAAAATAATAATTTTTAATCAAATAAAATGATTTTAATTTACAAATGATAAAATTATTTTAATAATGAAATCATTTTGGTGATTAAATAATTACATATGATTTCCAAAATGATAAAAATCATTTTCTAGACGAAGTCTTAAAGCGCTGTGAAACACAACTAGACGGCTGATCTATAATCTTAAATATTCAATCAAGTTCACATTGTAACAAGGAGCCCACAATTTTTTATGGCCCTTTGGTACCATATACCGTACCCTCTTCCCTTCATTTTCCAAGCAATGCCGGCACCTCTCATATAAATACCCCCAATTCTTCAAGTTCTCCATCTGTCTTCAAGAACACAAAAAAAAAAAAAAAAAATCAGAAAAATATTTTTTCCTCCCCTTTTTCACTCACTCAAATTTCCATAGCTTTTGCATGGCAGTGGGGTTATTGTCGCATGAGTTATCTGACCTCTGTCTTGGTAAGCCAGCGCTGAGGTCACTGTCTATATCATCCACCATTGCTGAGGCCCTTGAGGTCTTGAAAACCTCTGATGATAACTTTGTTAGTGTCTGGAGTTGTGACCATAAATCTAAAACTAGTTTAGGGTTTGAATCAGCTGCTGGTTTTTCTGATGATTATGGCGATGATGATGATGAGTGTAGATGTGTAGGCAAAGTTTGCATGGTGGATGTGATTTGCTATCTTTGCAAAGATGAAAATTTGGTGTCTCCTTCTGTTGCTTTGAAGGAGCCTGTTTCTGTGCTTTTACCTAAGATTCCTGGCCTTGTTATGCATGTGGAACCATCTTGCAGGTACAGATAATCGAAATGTTTGGATTCTTCTTTTGAGTTATAAATTAGTCTGTTGTTTTTCTGGATTTTTCTTCACTTCTTTCAATGTTTTGGCTAAATGGGTTGTTTTTACATTTCACAGTTTTTGTTTTATCTTTGGGAGTTTTCAAAAATCAAGAAAAACAATTTTTTTTGTCAGACTGCAGATTAATGGTCCCAGTTCTAGTCTCTCTTCATTGAAATTTTGTTAATTAAATATAAAATCAATGAGAATTTTGATATAATTTCAAGTAATTAATCATAATTGTTCTGTTTTTTAAGCTTGTTAGAAGCAATTGATCTTATACTCCAAGGAGCTCAAAACCTTGTGGTACCAATCAAAACCAAGCTCAGCAACAAGAGAAAACAATACCAGAAGCCTTCACCAACTGTTACTATCCACAAAGGCCGTGAATTCTGCTGGCTAACTCAAGAAGATGTGATCAGATTCCTACTCAGCTCTATTGGCCTATTTTCACCAATCCCTGCCTTCTCCATTGACAATTTTGGCATCATTACTCCTGAAATCCTCACCATTGAGTACCACTCCCCTGCCTCTGCAGCCATAGGAGCCATTTCTCGTGCCCTGGTGGACCAAACTTCGGTGGCTGTTGTTGATAGTGAAGGAACTTTGATTGGAGAAATTTCTCCCTTCAACTTGGCCTGCTGCGACGAGACAGTCGCCGCAGCACTCAAGACCTTGTCATCTGGGGATTTAATGGCCTACATTGACTGCGGAGGTCCCCCAGAAGACCTTGTCCGGGTTGTATCAGCAAGGTTGAAGGAGAGAAACTTGAATGGAATGCTGGAACATTTCACAATGTCTATGTCTTCCTGTGGATTCTCATCTGCATCTTCATCTGATGAGGAATCCATGACAACTCCAATGTCACCATTGCCAAGATCAGGAAGGCATAGTAAGTCAATGAGTTATTCAGCCAGGATGGTGAGAAGAGCTGAGGCAATTGTTTGCCATCCCAAGAGTTCACTAATTGCAGTGATGATCCAAGCAATTGCTCACAGGGTGAACTATGTTTGGGTTATTGAGGATGATTGTAGCTTGGTTGGAATTGTCACATTTACTGACATGTTAAAAGTTTTCAGGGAACATATGGAAACCATGGCCTGACAAGATGAGAAGCTTTTGTTTAAAAGTTTTTGCTAATCATCTGCTAGGCTTTGTTGATGCTAACAATGCTTAGAAAGCTGAGGCTGGTAGAGGAAGAATAAAAAATTTGGGAAAGTTGTGTGAATATGGAACATTTTCTTTCTTATTTTGTTTTCTTCTGTCATTTGACATGAGAAGTTTGGTATCTGATTGTATGAATTTGCAAGCCTTCTTTATATTTTCTTTCCTATCTTATCCTGTCTTTTAATTGAAGATTATGTGAAAAAAAGCGGATGATCTCCGCCTTTCTTTCATGATTCTGATTATAAGATTCTTCTCGTGCGCCGAATGCTTAATTTTAATGATCAGCTTCAATCTTGATAATCTCAAATATAAAAACAAAAATCTTCTCGTGTGTTTGAAAGGTAGTTCTTGTAGGTCAATGATCTTAAGGAATTGAAAACCAGCTAGTTGAAAAAAGTGAACCATAACATGTGGACACAAATGCAAATGGACTTGTTTATCAGTTTCACATCTTAAAGACTTGGTGGGGGAGCTATTTCAATTCTTCGTGATGACAGCTCATGATCTTGCCTGCAGTTACAAAAGTATGTATATGAATATATCAACTGACCTCACACTTTAAGAAGCAGCTTGAGCTTGCAGATTGTGGGCATGGCATGGATTCAGTTTAAACTTCAAAGTTCAAACAGCTGAGATATGTCAATGTTTTTCCAAGCAGTGTTTTGATGGCAGGAAAGTGGAAAAGGGCATATCCCATTAAATTGTGGGGCTGGCATTTGTAGCAGAAGAGGGGATCCAAATAAAGCTTTTTAATGATGAAAGTTTCCCACCAGCCATTGGTTGTGCTAGTTCAGATCCAACCTGCTAATCAAAAGCTCAAAAAAGAGAAGATATGTAGGGTAATCTCTTTTTTTGATCTTATCAGTATAATATTTTGGCACCAACTAATACGAAGTCAGCACAATTTGATTATTTTTTGTTGTTTCAACCAGTATTATATTTACTAGTATCATATGTTGGTACCAACCAAAACTTCATATAATTTGATTAATTCGTGTTCTTTCTACTAGCATTATTTTAACCATTATTGAATTTGATCATAGCTGGAATTTCGCATTTGATATACGCGGAACTAATACAGTGAGTTTTCAGTTTCACATATTAAAAAAAATAGTTTGGGGAGGGAGAAAATAATTCAACTCAAAAATATTCAACCTAAAATAAATCCATACCCTTCCCGATCCTCCAAATTACCAGTTCTAGAGATTTTGAATAATTCTTCAGGATTTTCACCTTTCTGAATAGAATTTTTTTTAGCAAAATAAGTTTCAAAAGTGGATCGGCTAGACAAGATTTTTGTAGTTGTAGAATTGTAGTTTGAGTAATATATATTACATTAGTTTTTGGTTTGTGCACGATACACTTATAATTTTTATTTTTAAAAATTTATTTTAATAAATAATTTTTTATATTATGAGAATAATGATAAATATTAATAATTTAATTTTAATTTTAATATAATATAATAAAATTTGATAACTTTTTTATATAATTTTGATTTTGATAACTTTTGATACTAATTTGGTAATTTATATATAATTTTGGTAATTTTGATAATTTCTTCATATAATTTTAGTAATTAATTTTTTAATAATTTATGATATATTTTTAATAATCACTGATAAAATTTGTATCCTTAATTTTCTTTTTATATAATAAAACTATTGAATCTTATTGACAGCTGCTTTCCTTGGAATCTCATTTATCTGGTTGAAGGCTTAGGTGTAATCTTGTACGTTTTATGGTCGTCCTAGCGGAAAGCAGGTGACTGATCACAATATAAAGAAAGAATACAATTTCTCTTTTCAGGTTCCAGATACTATACTTGATAATACCAAAAAGATAGAATCTTTGCTTCCTCATTGAAGAATCTGTGAACCATTGGAAACCTAAAATTCTGGATATGGCCTGGAGGAACAAACTGTGTAGTATACATATGGATCAACTGAAATCGGGGGAAAAAAGCTAGCAAATGATAATTCCTCTGTTACTAGAAACTTGGATTGGTTGAAAATTTATCGAGATTTTGAGTTTGAATCTTGACACTAACCTAGGTGAGGTAGGTAAATGAGGTAAGAAAGGGTTATCAGTTATGTTAAAATTTGTTACAGTTCTTAAGGTTCATCAATTAGAAAGAATTTTGACTTGATCACATTTTATATCAGTTTCAAGCTGTGCAAATAGGTGAGAGCCTTTCACAAAGTGGGAAAAGCTGCTGCATATTTTTAGATTTGTTTAATCTTGGAAATGACCTGCATTCGAAGTTGTCTTAAGGTCAGATTTTGCAAGATGTGAATGACAATAACAATCGCCTTCCAACTACTAGATAGGCCAGATTGTGAATACCTTTCCTTCCTATCTGTCCCAATGCTATTTGAGAAGAGAAAAAATGTCAAATTCAAACCTAAATGCTCCACTTTCTGATCGAAACAGCATCCTATGTATAGTTTCCACCTATTATCTCAGTATTTTTGTCTTCTCTGTATATCCCTAATCAGGCAAATGACTAATTTAAATGAGGACTGGAAAATGGAAATTGTGTGAAGAAAATGGTAGTGCTATATCTTGCAAATCCAGTCTCATCATCCAGCTGGTGGTTTTTTATTTTATAGAAAATATAGAAATGTGAAAAGGATGGCTAACAGAAATACCTAAGGATGAATCAAACTAACCCTTCCCTGATCTGAGTTAGTGTCATGCAAAGCCAAGTTTTGTTCACCAGATTTGGAATTTATATTAAACCTGGTTAACTACCTCTGTCTCCTTCAATAATTTTCCAGGAAATTTGTGTGCGTATATGCAGAAACGAAGGCCCGAGTGATACACAGAGAGAAAGATGGAAGCTGAAGAAATACATTATACGTGATTCAAGCCACCTGGTCTTGGATCAAACTTCATGTGATTATAGACTTGAAAATGTAATTGAATAGAAATGTAACTTGGCTAACAACTGAGCACGTTTTGATTTCATTCGGAAAGTTCACATTAAAGTTTATCCGTTAATAGCTTTTCCAGGATGTGTTTTATTGTGCTACTCAGATTTGGAGCTTCAAGTTTATCATTTAGTTGAACTTCAACTACTGAGGCAGAGAAATCCTTTGCCCAATATGAAGTAGCAATTCAACCCTGAGACATAGGGATTTGACTATCAACCAGGTCCAAGGATCACAAATGAACAAGGTTTTTTTTTAAATGTTTTTGGGGAGAATCCACCCAAGGCATGGTAAAGAGTAAAGACCGATTGATTGTTTTGCAAAATAATCGATGAAAGCAGGGGAGAAAAGCAACATCAGGAGCTACATATTCAACTTTCTAAAATACAACAATTAGTATCCAGCATGCACAGCTACGATACGTGTAATTCTACAAAGTTTTAATGAGGGGGAAAAACAGTGTTTCACCTCTCAGAATATAACACAAACCTGCACAAAAGCAGATGATAGTTCAATGCATTTCATCTGCTTTCTGAAAGAAGACTTGTTTCTTCTTCCATTTCCGGAATAAAAATCTCTGTAGGTTCAAGGCAACCTCTCAATGTGTCATGGCCAAGTTGTGCTCGCTCATTGTCCCCGAATCCTAACATCCTCCCCTGGTGAGTTACCACCACAGTGTGGTACAGACCTGTGCTAATCTGAGAAACACGGTGACCTTTCAAGCTATCAAGGATTCTAGGTCTCATAACTTTATCAGATACGCTCCTGTCTGGAAATCCCAGGCTCCCAAATCCCATCCACCCAAAGCCATAGACAGAACCGCCATCAACCAGAACAAATGTTTTCCTCTTTCTTGCACAAACCTACACCAAACAGTAACCCTAGTCATTCAATCATGGATGCCAAGCATGTCATTTAATTGAACAAAATCAACCGGATTCTTCTCATGGACAAGGATAGTCATGAAAACAGATACATGCACAGTGGAGGCTAGACATGACAAGCATCCATGTCAACTTCAATATACTTATGGTTATAGGCATGTCAGCAAACTTTGATATGCATTTACAATTACATATTGTAAGCACATTAAAGTCCAATTCATGAATTCATTAAGAGGATGGTGTGCTCCAAAAACAATACAATAGTGAACCAGCTAGGCAGGTGAGCCAGCTTGATGTGTGCTAATAATGAAGCTTCATAGGTGGTAAGGAGAAGGCCTCACAGTTTCCAAAACTCTACGAGTTTCAATGTAGATCCAAGACACAATTAAATGACTGAATCTTAAAACCCGTCAACAATAAAAAGGAAAAAAAAAATGGGTAGGATACAGAGTTCAATATAGGTCTTCCGCACAACTAGAGTTAGATATTGCATTTTCTGATTCACTCAAACATATTACCACTTCAGAAATGTTATAATGATGGATGAAACTAACCTGAACAGCAAGCTGACTCTTAAGGCTGATCAAGTGTTCTGGAAGAGTTTTATCGATCTCATCTCCATGGCCCAATGCACCACAATAACCTTTTCCCCAGGTATATACCTACAATCAGCTTAGAAAATTGTGAAACCACAAAAAAAAAAAAAAGGCATAATCAACAACCATAAAGTTCAACTCAAATGCAGTGACTCACGTATCCACTGGAATCAAGTGCCACAACATGCTCGTCACCAGCAGAGACACGAAGAACATGAATACTTTTTCTCTTAAATGTATGGATTGCACGTGGCTGGAACTCATTTTGCTGCTCCCCATGGCCAAGGCAAAAATTAGAACCAGAACCAAAAGAGTAAACCACTCCATTGTCAGTAACAGCTAAAACATAGCTTGGGCCAGCAGCAATTTGAACTACAGAGCCAACCCCCCCAAGCAGTTCAACCATTTTGGGGTTTGGTCGGTCTTGAGTGTCACCATGACCCAGCTGGCCATGTGTGTTAGTTCCACATGTATATACACGGCCTTGTCTTGTAAGGAACACAGTAAAATTCAGTCCAGCAGCTACCTAAAACAAGTTCAACCTTTCTAATATTAGATAAGAACAAATTTCGGAAGAAAACAGGTACCTGCAAAGTGACTTGAAATTTTCAAAACCATGATTGCAAAGAAGAAGAAGCAACTTACTAAATTCTTGCCAGTTGCCACAACAAAAGTAACAGTATATCTTCAAATCAACCATTCAGATTATATTAAGGACGCTTTATTGCAAAAATGCTTTCTGCTCAGACCTTAAACATTAAATTAAGTCTTAATCTATCACAGACAACTTGGCTTTTGAGGGCTTAAACCTCGCTCACCAGTTTGCGCAAAATACTGCATATTGACTTCTGAACTACATGCTATGAACTACATGCAAGTGTAATGCATCTTGTTTGTTAGGTTTCATGACAATCATCAACCTAGCAAGCTAAATAGTTATAGTGATGACAGAAAGCAGCTTCACCGGAACAAAACCATAAGCCAATCATTCTGAACAATTTAACTGCATCTGCTTCTCAAATAACACAGGGAAAATAAGGAAGATAAAAGAACATCAATGACAGAAGTGACAATAAGTACAACCAATACAAATAAGATATTAACATAAATATATAAAGAAGTTAAAGATCTGCTTATAGGACAACGTAGAGAACAAACTGCTGCCACTCTCAAGTAAAACTATTATTAACATGTTACACCATAACGAGGGTTATATGCAGTCTACCTGTTTACAAGGAATTCCCTTCATTGCTTCAACAAGCCTTGGTCTGAAAACAGGGCGGCTTGTATCTCTGTGGCCACAACAAAATGATGAATTGTCTCCACATGTGAAAACCTGCATAAGTAATTGGTGACGCAATATGAATATTGCAACTACTTGATACCTGATCACATATGTATTTCATTGTTGACAAACTGTAAAATATGCATGCATCCACAAATTGTAACCGCAAAGAAATTTGGGTGTATAACATATAACATTACCCAAAAGAATACAACCTTATATACATCAAATGCAATGATCACAAATCATGTTCAAAGATGAGAAAACATGTTTACAGGGCTGTATAACAATCAAGCAACATGATCTTGTTTCATGCCAAGATTGATTAGAACTCGCCTGCGCTAATTCAACAAAGCATGAACTTTGGCTGAAGTGTGCCAATTTCAAACTTTTCACCTGAACAAATCAACTTCAACCAAAGGCCTGCTCAACTAATCGATCATCAGAGCCAGCAATGCAAGCTCATAGATGGCCATCCATACTAACACAGCCATTATATAACCAACTCAGACTAGTAAATATATAAAATACGCTTTCTAGCCTAGATTCAGCTCACTTCTACCCTGAATTTAATTATGAAGGCCATAAAGAGGTTGTTACCATTAAAAATCCTTCCCCCTCAAATCCCCAAGAAAATATTCTGTAAGGTCCACATTTTCATAAATTTATTATCAAATTTTATTGAACCAAGACATTAGCAATTGACTGAGCACTTAATACACTAAAAGACTCCCCCTGTTTAATAAATAAGACCTAGAGTGATTACGTCTAGACTTCAGAAAGATGCATATCAGGTGCTCAGACTTAAGCTAAATCTCTCATTTGTTCAGTCAATGCATTAAGAACCCAAACAACCCAACTATGCAATAGAAAAGTAGGCCAACATGCTACATGGTATGTTACCTATGTATTTGCAATTGGCATTTGCTATCATGTCCATGACAAATAGTAGTTAAATAGGTATTCACTAGATGTAGCTCTAAACAGTTATCTCTGAGTATATTTGCTCAAAAGTAAAAAATGCAACCTTTCCATTAATCATATCACTGATGTTATCAGCATTCACAGTGAGGTAACATTTTACTTTTTCAAAGCCAGCTGGATCAAACATTCACAACCACAACAAACACTAACATGCATTTGAAATTACAAAGAATTGACATCACATGCTAGGGAAAGATAACGTGTGGCTCCTATACAAAATGCACCCTGAGTATGCTACTGCTAACTAAAAAACATGGCAAACTGAAATGAGCAACAAACCTCTCCAGACTGCAAAATGAATGCGGCATGATTCTGAGAAGCTGACACCTGGATCACATTACCAGGATAAGGGAAGTTAATCCTCGTAAATGCTACACATTGTGTTGTTTCAGGACCATGTCCGAGGACACCACACAAACTGGAACCACAAGAGTACACTGATGAGTTGCTAATTAGCAATGTGTGATACCTTCCAGTTGTTATCTGCATCTGGTAAACCAAACTGATAATAAGTGTTGAGTAACCAGAACTCTTTTTATAGCAGCACCTATGACAGCTGGATGCAGAAACATAAGAAAATCTAAAAATGCTGCGGACATGAAAAAAGAGATATAAACTTCAATGACAACTTTTCATCTTTTCTTCTCTAATAGGCCTAATATTTCAAATTCATCTAAATTGCTTTTGGGTTCTTGTTGCAAGCTCAAATGACACTCCTTTTCTCTTTCCTGATATTATAGAATAGTGTAACGAGCAAAAGTCATATGTTCCTCACCAAAACACTACCAGCAACTATAACACACACAATTCAGCTTGATAGAAAACTAAAAGCAAGAACATACCAGAAATAAAATTTTGTTTTTCTGCCAAAAAAATACAATAACAACTATCAAACAACCGATTGTTAAAACTGGGTAAAAATGCAACCCAACTAAATGCTCAATAATCCACCGTTAACGCAGGGTGGAATTCATTCAAATTTCAACTTAACCATAAGTTAAGCCTTCATTTAGTTACTTACTTTATGCTATTGCCTTTTCATTACTTCAAAAATTGCTGTAAACCATGTTTGATCATTGGTTAAATCTTAATTATTCCATATAAAACTAAACCACGCATTTCCTTTTATACTCAAACATGCCAAAAAATAGCAAACCATTAAAGACCAAAAGGAATCAAAATCTAAACTAAATTCTAAACCAATTCTCAAGTTTAACATAAAAAAATTAAAGTACATAAAATTTATTAATCTTAAAAGCAATTAAAATAATCAAAAGTTGATAAAAAAAAAAAAGAAATAGTTACATTGCCTGCAGAGGTATGGACCATATCCGATGACTGCTCCACAGTCTGCAAAAACCTCAAAACTCTCTTCCAATTCCTATCACACCTTTCAAAGAGCTCCCTTTGACTGCTCCTACTCATCCCTATATATATCCCATTCGCCGTGCATAGCTGAAATGCCGCTAAATCAACCAATGACCTGAATTTCGTCGGATAAACCCCGTGACTACCTCCAAATGTTCTCGAAGTCAACTCCAACGACACTAGGTCAACGGCACTTAACCGTTTACCGGACGTTATAATCTCCAAAATCAAATGGGATGGTAAATCCTCAATTGAAAATAACCTATTCCTATCAGCCATTGAAACAAAATCGGTTTTTCTTTTTGTGGAATTGAAATGAAGGGAATTTAGGGTTCTGATTAAAAATTCAAATTTTGACGCGAAATCTTAAGCAATTAAAGCAAATTATAAAGAATGCATCGGAAGGGAGGAGAGTTGAGAAACTTAATTGCGACTGATGCTTTGATTGGAAACTAATCATCAGATGGGATGGATCGGATCACTAGATCACCGTTGATTTTTGTTTTTTGCGAAGAGGAAATTTGGGATTTCTTTTTTGATCTGTGAAAAAATGGGTTTGAAAACAGAGGATTATTAGAATTATATGAGTTTCAAATTGGATTAAAAATTAAAGAAAACAACGACAAAAAATCACTGAAATTCAATCACCACCGAAAGAAGAAAATTTTTTTTGCTTTTTGTAAATTATTATTAATTAAAAAAAATGACAAAAGGAAATGCAAAAGACATAAAGAGAAATATCAGTGACAACTCTCAAGCTTTTTTTTTATCTGAAGAAAATAATGGTAGATTTAGTAAGCTCGGTCTTAAGATAACAATGTAAATGCAATCAGTCACATTTCAACATGCATATGAAAGTTTATATAAGTGACGTGTCGGAGGGTGATTGGTTAACTGATATTAATTAGCGGATCTGCTCATATCTATTAAAGTTTGTTCGGTGTTGCCTTTGGTCGTGGATGCCACTAGTTGTCGTTCCGCCAAGTTGTTTTGTCAGAAAATTGAATGACACACGGAAGTTCAAAGCATAGCCACGTCGGAAACATAAATTACATTTTTTTTCTCAGGTTTGTCTCCCGCACGTGTATCCAACTTTATCAATAAAACGCAGAGTTTTACATCTTTACAAACCCTCATCAAACAGCGACAGCTTCCACAAAGTGGTTTTTTTTTTTTTTTTTTTTAATTTAATTTAATTTTCTTTTAAATTTGTGGGTGTTACAGTAATGGAGGAAAATAAGAAGGGTGATAAGCATGAAGAGGAAGCAGAGACAGAGTATGTATTGCTTGATCTTTACACTGTTTCTGGGCAGATTGATTTTCCTCCAAATGCACCTTACGCTCTTTCTGTAAGCTCTTAATCTCAATTTTGTTTTTAATTCTATTAAGTTTTTAGATTTCTGAGTTTTTGGTTCTTGCTACTTGATTTTAGATTTGAAACTTAAAGCTATGTTTTTATATTTTTTAATCTTGATTTCGAGTCTTGAGGGTTAGTGAAATGGGATTTGTGTTCGTTGTACTGACACAAGTGGTTCAAATAGCGGTGTAGCGGCCGTTATCCACCGCAATGGAGATGAGAGTAACCAATCACACACATAGCTTCGTGGCCGCAAATAGCAGGACAACAACGGCTGCCCATGCTAAACACAACAATCAAATTCCAATAAATTTATGCTTCAATCAACGTAAAAGAAGGAATTAATTCAAGGTAAGTAAAATATATTCGCTTAAAATTACCCTTTTTTCCTCGCATTTTTTAACATTTGAATTGGAGGTGGTGTGAAGATATTGCCCTTATCAATTGCCGCAGATGTGGCATTCACAATCACTGGTATTCATGCAAGTGCTTTAACTATGGGAGAACTCAATTTATACAAAACTTGTGTATATATATGTGTGTGTGTGTGTGTTGTTGGATGGAATAAATTTGGGCCTGTTTATGTTTTTGGGTCTTTGACTGGAGCTCTGCTGCAGCTGAATTTAATTTTGATTTGATTGAATGTATTACTATACCTTTTGATAATATGTTTAGAAGTATGAATTAGATGCTGCCTGCATCCTTACACTCTTGCTCTACCATTTTCTGTGTTCCACTTATCACTCCCCTCACTCCAGTTAAATAGGGGATATTGTTTGTTTTCTTGATTATTTGTTGGATAAGAATATTTGTTTACTTGATGTACCGGTATTCTGTTGTCGATTCTGCCTAAGATCTCATTGTTGTTATATGTTTTATGGTCATATTGTGATTATCAGGTTGTTATTGAATGTCAGGGTTTGGATACGATGAATCCAATATTAATCATAGATGAAAAAGTGAAGCTGGTGAGTTGTTTGTGCAAAATCTTGTTAACACCTTGAGCAAGAAAGGTTCCAGGTTATTTATGTTTTTAAAGTGCTATTCATTGATGACCATATTTAACCAACAACTAGGGATTGCCATTTTATTTTTTATTGATGTTTATCGTTAGCATTCACAATCAACCCAGACAATCTATATTTCAGAATTCTTAGCATCTAAATGATTCTTGCTGCCTGCCATTTTCTCCTCGTTGTTCGTTGTCATTTTGTTAGACTCATCCCTCTCCCACATATATCAAAAGTAGTTAGTTTGTCATAAATTTTACTATGCACTAGGGATTTTGTGGTCCATGATAGCCCTAATCTACGCTGTATTTTGACTCTTTGATTTGATATTTAATAAACATCAAGCGATTGCTCACATGCGAAAGTTTTTAATTCATGAAAATTTTGTCTTTTAAGTAAATATCTTTTCCAATTTACAGATTGGAGAATATGAAGAAACAATAGGAACTTGCTTTGTTTTCTCTGAATATGGTGAGCAACATTTCCTATCATACTAACTTTGAGCTTAATTGGGTTGTCATTAGTTATCTCTCATTCATTCTTTTGTTATCATTTTACATGTTCTTACCTAATACATAGGAGGATTTTAAGTTTAAATCTCCTTTCATAAGTTTTTATATGATGGTAAACAAAAAACCGTGGAAGAATAACTATGAAAACAGGGAACATACCACTGGAACCAGATTTTCTTGATTTACCATTTTTATTTTCTTTTAAGGGTTTTGTGTGTCTTAGGTGCAGAGGTTCTGAAAAAAATCTTTTTGGCCTCCGATTTGATTAGAACCGACCTCATTTTGAGGTCAAGTTAAGTCTATTATTCTGAATTTTTTTGAAACCTTTGTACTTTATACAAATTGGAGAACTTATGAACAAGAGCTCATATGAAATTAGGAGCATGTAACTCCCTGTTGTCAGTTTTTATCTTGGGGGCATTCCCACCTCAAGCCTAGATTAGTTTAATGATAAGGCATGGGTTTGGTTTATTAGTATTCATGCTAGCTCATTCTGTTCACCTGTTTCAATTGCATATCATGTTTGCTAGGAAAATTGCTTCCATGACTTTCTCATTTGGTTTACGGGATCAACCTGTTAATTTATTAGCGTCCCAATTCCATTGTTTATATGTTCATTCAGTTTAATCTGTTTCTCAAACTTTTTCCTGTTTAAATTAAGAATTTGTTGTGTCAATTATTCTTTGCATAAGCTTCCCCTATAGTTCATGAAGAGACAGGTCTATCAGAAGCAAATCTCTTCTCAGAAAAATGTATAATAGATCCAAACCAAGCTCCAAGAAAGCAAGTAAAGCCAGTTGCCTGACTTCACAAGATTCTAGAGTTCAGATTGTTACTAGACGACGATGTTCAAGATGAAACAAATGCCCCAACTAATTCAAAAGTGTAAGTAGCAAACTCTAATTTGATGTCACTTGTCAATGTTAATTCTTAATTTTGAAAGTAATTTAATGCAATCATAATTATTCTCTGCCTTTATTTGTACTCTTGCATTACATATCTATTATCTAGAATGTTGTAATATTGTTAGTTCTTGGCCGGATTGAGAAGGAGAGCTGCATTTGGATGTTGGTGGTCAGTAAAGATTCTTGGTGGTTTTAAGTGAATTTGATAAAATACAATGACATTGTCATGGGTTTAGACCTTATTCCATATGTAAATTCTGATATAATGTATTGGAATGCCTAATACAGGTTTTCAATTTGTCACCGAAAACCAAGGCTTCCTCCCTCTTCCATGCTGAAATTGTTTAAAATTTTTTATTCATGGTGACAACCTGCAGTAATGGCTATCTAAAATATTAGAAATAGACAGGATTATGTTTAAGCTTGTTGATTTATCCTTAAACTTGTAGATCTATCAACTTTGACATGTCTCGGTCATTTTCTTTTGGTTTGCATGTTTTATACTTCCCTCCAGAGGGTATCCAAATACTACATAAGAAAAATCAGTATGCAGTACTCAGTAATTTACGTGCAAATGCCGACAATTATGGCAGACGAAAGAGACAACTAATAAGTAAAGATGGAATTTACTCCGGAAGTGCACTTTGCTTTAATTCTGCCTTTTACGACCAACTGCGAAAGTGGCAGCAACACCATAAGTAAAACAAAAAAAAAAAGGGGCATGAAGCTCTCTTTATGCTCGGAATTGGGTAAAGGGTCGGATCCATCACAACTATTGATTCATAATTTATGTCATTTCTCTTGTTTTTCATTTCACTTTCCTTGGCACTTTCTTTCTCTTACTTTTTTGACTATTCTTTTCACTACTGTCTTTGTTATTTCTTAATTAATATGGGTGAAGATGGTAGCATAGACTTCCACTACCTTTTACTACTAGCTGATTGCTCCATACATATCTTCTACCACGTTCTACAGTTAGAAAGGAATTTTGCTTCTTCTTACCTGCTCTAGGTCTTCCTTTCTTCGTTTTTTTTTTTTTTCACTGATCGAGGTCTTTCAGAAGTGTTAGCCTGTCAAGGGGTTCAAAGCAGGTAACTTTCAATTCAGGTTCTTTTTTCTTTTAATTTCCGCTCATAACAGGGAAAAATTGCTTGCTTGATTCAGTTTCAAGCTTATCATGACATGCCTCGTTTGTTTTGTTTGGGTTTTGTTTTTGTTTTTCCACTTTCACTAAGATGTTGACTTTACAACGATTATATTTTAACCTTGTTAAAAACATTGTTCAGATGATTTTATGGTCTTGTTTGGAACATGAATATTTGGTCAAGCAAGATGAACAATCGGGATCAAATCATTCCATTTAGCTTTAATTATGATAGCAGTAACGTTATTGCTGAAAATCAACAAAAATGTTTAAGATCTTACCTGTGGTAAGGTGGAGGCTCGAGAATAGTATGATCGGGTTTGATTCTCAGTCATGTGAGTCTTTGGAGATCTGATATTTACAATTTCCGTTCCCCGGTATTTGGCAATTTTTTTATGGAAGTCCTGTTCATAGTTGATGGATCTCAATTTGCCATGTATAAGAATAGCAAATTTTACTGTACTTGACAATCCCAAGCCTTAATTTTGTGTAATCTGCTTACTGTCTCTTATTCTTAAGAGCTGATGGTTTGGTAGACCCGCAAATGCCAACAATTATGGCAGACAGCAAGGAAACAACTAATAAGAAAAGATGGAAATTACTACGAGATTGCACTTTGCTTTAAGTCTGCCTTGTGGCAACTGCCATGAAAGTGGCACCAAGACCATAACAATTGAACTGACTCATAATAATTTTGGTCATTTTGCTAGCACTTTCCTTGGCAGTTTCTTGTTCTTACTTTTTTGACTAGTCTTTTCACTACTCTCTCTATTATTTCGTAGTTAATATCAATCAAAATGACTTACACCTCCTTTTACCGCTAGCTAATTAACTATTTCTTTGCTCATTAAATATCTTCTGCCAGGGTTCTATAGTTACCAAGGAACTTTGCTTCTTGTTATCTACCAACCTTTTTTCTTCTCTGTTTTTTCTTCCCTGTTCGAGGTCTTGCAGAAGTGTCAGGCTATCAAAGGGGTTCAAATTAGCAGGTAATTTAACATTGTTAAAAACATTGTTCAGATGATTTTATATGGTCTTGTTTGGAACATGAATATTTGGTCAAGCAAGATGAACAATTGTGATAAAATCATTCGATTTAACTTTAATTATAATAGTAGTACTGGTATTGCTGAAAATCAACAAGTTTGAGATCTTATTGGTGGTAAGGTGGAGACTCTAGGATTGTAGGATCACATGTTCTCAGGTTTGAGATCTCACCTTGTGTGAGTCTTCGAAATGTGATATTTAGAACTTCCATTTCCCTATTTGACAATATTTATATGGAAGTCTTGTTGATAGTTGAAGGAACTCAATATCTCCCATGCCATACATAAGAAAAGCAAATTTTACAGTGCTAGACAGTACTAGGCCTTAATTTTAGGTAATATGCTTACTTTGTCCTTCATTTTAAATCTTTCCTGCTTTGTTCTTAATCTCTCTCCATTTTCACTTTCTTATATGTTAATATCATGCTTGGCCTTTCCAGTTTTCCTGGAGATCTTAGCACGTCAAGGATTATTTGTCGGCAGCTGCAGCAGCTCACAATTTGATGTTCGGAACTCTCTTGATGCATTTTCTTTTCAAGTCTCTGTTTTTATCCTTCTTGTTGACGTTTTAGAGGTTTCTAAGAATTTAGGTAAGCATGAACAATTTTGGTCAAACTCTTTGATTGGTTGATCCTTCTGCTTAGGTCAAATATTAATTTTCCACTTTTGTGTCAATCTATGATGAATTTGTTCCAAAGAGTTCATACAATTATTGTGTCAGAGTCTGTTTTCATGTATTTTCTTGGTGTTGTCACATTATGGTGATGGCTAACATTGGGGGTCTTCAACCTCTTGTCGATGTTTTGATTCCAACTCTTGGTATGGCCAGAAATTTTCAATTTCATATGGAATCATTTTGATCAGAAAACTGAATTTGAATATCACCCCTGTTACAATTTCATGAATAAGATATTACAATAACCCTGCCTAAAAATTGATTGCATCACAATCTATATGCAGCTTTCCTCTGTCTAGATTTTTACCCTAATTGGTCCTGAAGAGCTCACTAATTGGTCTCCTTCTCTATTTGCCTTTATTGGTTGTTATCCTTCCATAAATAGATCACATCAAACAATTCTTGATAAATAGCTCTCTAAATATTTTTCTGATGTGTTTGGATTGAATTCTATTCCGAACCATCTTTGATAAAAGAAAATTTTTTTCTCAGAAAATTATTCATAAAGCTTTATACGGAAATTCCTTATAATGTTTTTTTTTTTGGCCTATTTCATGACATGCATATGACACCAGCCTTTTACTTAGAAACACAACGGAAGTAAGCTGTTGGATTAAATGGTACAAGTTTACAGTTACAAGTCCTTCATTTCATCATTTGTATATCACTCAATCTCATTTAGTTCTTACCATTTTTTCCCTTTCGTATATATTAATTTCAAGCTTTTCTGTCTGTCTTTCCTCAGATGTTGTATCAGGTGAAACATAAATTGTCACCAACTTAATGCTGCTGCAAAATAGAAGGAAATGGTGGCTACTCACGTTCTCAATTGTAACCATTTGCCATTCTACACTCCCCTAAATTCCCTGTCAAGTCAGAATCTCTGATGAAGACCCTGGTGACCGTTTCTTTGTTATTTTTGAAAGCAAGTCCAATTTAAGCTGTAGAATAGAAGGCTTAAGCATAGTTGTAAGTCCTTTATCTTCAATCTATCTTTGTTGAGTTTTCTTTTTCCTTTGTATTTTATATTCTTATAACTGATGCCTTTTCTGGTCTTATCTTTTCCTAGATACCATTTCATTTCAACATATTGTTTCAAAATTTTAAGACTCTGGCTAAGAAGACGAAAAGGGAAATTGCTCACTCTGGGAGTGAAGGTAGAATTGTAAATTTCACTCCTCTGCAGAACACCAGTGTTCTTCTAAATTTTCTTTAATCGTCTTCACCAACTGTGGAATTTCCGAGGTTTCCTAGTGTAATATTTGTTGTTTTTGTACTTTGAGTCTGTCTGTTTTGCACTTTGTTTCTTGTCTGTTAATAGAAACATGTCAAGAATTTCTCTACGTATTTAATCATTGAAAACATGGCAGATTATGTTACCCTTAATTCTGCTGCAAAGTTGATTGTATTTCCTTTACCCAAAATTTTTGAATACATATATTTAATTTCGTGTAAAGCTTATATTTCCACCAAGGAGAGCAATATGTATGTTTTCTGGTCTTGGATATCGAGATCCTGTCAAAAGGCTGGCTAGATAGCCAATGTTAGTTAAGTCAGAAAAAGTATTAAGAGAAAGAAGGAAGGTAGGAGGAAAGAGAGATGGTATAAGGTTAGAAATGTGTTGCCTGTGGCTTGATCTTACCTTTCATACCTTTTTCATGTTAGACATGGTCAGTGGACTTGCTTGGTATCAATTAAGCAATGGACCGATTATATTTAGAACGTAAACTAAAGTCAGAATTCGGACATGGCCGATGAACAACGCTTATATTAGAACGTTTAATCAAGTCTATTAGCATATTATCTTCATTGGACAGCCCAAAGGAATATGAAACTTAATTTGGAATTTCGAAGCTGCAGATTGGCTGGCCTTGAATGCCTTATACTTTCCTTAAGCAACTTGGGCTTTCCCCCATGAAACACTCCTAACCATAGTGAAAAAGAAAACACGTGGACATGATAAAGAGAATAAAAGAGAAATAAAATAGTTGACCTTTGACCCTGCAAATGCCAAATTTTGTAGCATATCATAAAAATCAACAAGGAAGGTGGAATCAACCCCTATACTTCAATTCGCTTTAATATTTCTACAGAGAGTTTCCTTTAAGTTGACTGGTACAAATAAAGGTCATTTCTCTTCTATTCATTTGAACTTTCCTCGGCTCCCTCCCCGGTATTTCTTCCTACTTTCTCATTTCTTTTCACCACAGTCTGTATACCTCTTCTACCAAGGTTCTACTGTTGGCAAAGGAATTTGCTTCTTTTCATTAGCTGGGCTTTTCTTCAATTATCAGGTAATTTTAATTTCCAATACTACGTTTCTTTTGACTGTTATGAATTGTGCGAAAAGGTCATGCTTGTTCATAAAATATTTTTCTGCTCTGCTCTGCTCTGCTATTACTTTCTCGCCTTTACTTGTTGACTTGAGTCTTAACATTGATTGTTCTTGATTGGGTTATTAACTTGTTTTTATATTATTCATATGCTTTAATTTTTTGGCCTCTTCATGCTCCTGATGCATGAATATTTTGATAAAAAAATTAATTATGAACTGAAAAACTTATGTAATCTTTTAGAATTAAATGTTTAGATGGGGAACTTAAGTCAACAAAATATGTAGTTCAAACTGAAGTTGCTGGAACATTATTGACAAGGGTTCTACTTTAGGAATTTGTTGTTATAATCAGTTAAAAGTAAAAATTGATGTGTAAATTTCAAAATCTTTTGCAGGTATCCAGATTTCTCCTCAAGGAACCAGGCATACCTCTATATCTCTATCCAAAATCAGATTCTTCATTGTCTTAAAATGGGTATATCATTAAAAAATCTCATGTATGTGGAAATTTTGGTTATGAATGTTGACAATTATAGACTTCTTTGACACTGTTTTTTTTTTTTTTTTGTTATTATTACTATTTTTTGCAGCTTTGGCCTGGGGTTTATGAGTAGGACTCTTTAATTTGCATTGTGCAAAATTATTTTTAGCAAGTAGTAATAAGAAAATGTAGAATTTGTTCCCAAAAGTCACAATATATGGAGTTAATAATCAGAAATCATACTAAATTTTTGAGCAATTGGCCAACTTTTTTTTCCCCAATTACAGGCTTCTTAAAATATCTGTTTGCATAATTAAGTTCTTTTAAAGTTAATTGTCATGACAAAGAATTCTAATGCCATAAATTGGGTGTTATGCAGGGACTTTACTGAACAAGTAGGAAAAGTTTTTGAAGCTGGAAAAACTATATGGGGTATTGTAGGGAAGCACTGGAAATTCCCTACAGGCCTTGATCAGAATGTAAATAATCTGAAGAGAAAAAGAGAGGAATTAAATGGTCAGAAAGATGATACAGCATCAAGAATTAAGGCCGAGCTGCATCCAAGAAAGAAAGTCAAGAAAGAAGTTAAGCTGTGGTTGGAAAATGTTGAAAGGGTAGATGGTGAAATACAGAACCTAGAATCAGACGCAGTTGGACCTAGCGGCTTTTACTCACGTGGATTCCTTAAAAACAATGTTTGTAAGAAGATAGAAGAAGTTGAACAACTTCTTGAAAAGGGTAGATTTTCTGATGGTTTGGTTGTTGATGATCCTTTGCGGATGGGACAGGTGTTGCCGATACCAAGATTAGTTGGTGAAACAGCAGCACTTAAAAGGAATGAAATTATGGGATACCTGATGAGTAATGAGGTTCAAAAGATCGGAATTTATGGAATGCCAGGAGTTGGGAAAACAAGTGTCATCAAGCTTGTCAACAATGAACTCTTAAAAGATGCAAACCAGTTTAATATTGTTGTATGGATCACTGTATCAAGGAAATGTAGTGTTATTGAACTGCAGAATAAGATTGCACAGGCAATTAGTGCTGTTATTTCAGAAGATGAAGATGAAACAATACGAGCAGGGATATTATCTGAAATATTTGCTCAAAAGGGAAGGTATGTGTTAATCTTAGATGATGTGTTGGACAATTTTTCTCTAGAAGAAGTTGGAATTCCTGAGCCTACTGCAAGTAATGGGAGTAAATTAGTTCTAACATCCCGATCATTGGATGTATGTCGACGCATGGATTGTCAAGTAATAAAAATGGAACCGCTTCCTGGAGCAGAAGCATGGACATTGTTCTTGGACAAGGTTGGTCAAAGTCTAATGAGTTGTTCAGTTTTAGTGCCATTTGCAAGATCCATTGCGGAGCGTTGTGCTGGTTTGCCATTGGCAATAATCACAGTTGCCAGTAGCATGAGAGGTGAATATAGCCTTCCTAGATGGAGGAATGCATTGGAGGAATTAAAAAGGAATGTACAGACTGTCATGGATGTGGATGTTAAAGCCATGGTATATCAGCAATTGAGATTCAGCTACGATCGTTTGAATGATCCCAAAATTCAGAACTGTTTCCTCACTACTGCATCATATGATGAAGATTCTGGAATCCAGAAGGAGCAGCTGATAAGGGACTGGATTAGAAAAGGATTAATAGATGATATGGGCAACATGCAAGCAAACATTGACAGGGGCCAGGCAATCCTAGGAAGACTTATTGACAATTGCTTGTTAGAAAATGTTGGAAATGGAAGAGTCAAAATGCATGATCTTGTAAGAGATATGGCTGTACTGATCACCCGGGAGCTCTATTCATCATAGCCATCATTTCAATGAGAGCCAGAAGAACAAGGAGTAGGTGCCGCGGCCAGTACAGTCAAAAGTGAAGACAAATATTGCAGCAGAAAGGGAGTCATAGTTTGCTATTTTTTCCCAACAAATTGAACTTCCCAGTTGAAGAGAATGCCTTCGTAATCACGGTTGCTCTGTTTGAAACACCAAATGATCCAAGTGAGGCAAATGGTGGAACAAAAACATGTCTCACTCTCTGAATTGTAACTCTATTTATCATCAGTTTTGCACTGAATTCACTGTTATTTCTTCACAAAAAGCTTTTTCCTCCTGTCATGTGCATGATTTGACCTTTATTACAAAAGCAAATTTTTATTACCTTTTTTTTTTTTTGTAAAATTGAAATTGAAATTTTTTAGTCCTTTCTTTGGGGAAAAATGCATTGAATTAAATGGTTACAGAATCAATCGAGATGGTGTTCAACTTCCATCCAATATTCAGCAATTGAGTTTTATTAACTGCATTGTCTGAACTAAATGGGAAAATGCATTTTTCTCATGGTTTAAACCAGTGCTACATAACAAAATTTCCTTTCTTCAATATAGTTATATAAGAAATTTAGAAAAATAAAGAAGTTGTTCATGTTTAACTGGAAGTGTTAAGTGTTGAGGAATTTGGAGAAATGGAGGGAAAAATATCCTCAGGATCAGAAAATGCAGGAAGAAGGAACAGTTACCAGGAACAGCATCAAATTTGCTCTTCCCAAATTAAGTTATTTGAGATTGTCTTCTGTGCCCAAATTGAAGGAGCATTTGTAACACAAATGGAGTAATGGTCTGTGATTCTCTCCAAGAAATTTGGATAAGGAATTGTAGAATATTAAACAGGATCCCTCTATACCTTCCCCAGCTTGATGATGGTCATCCTCAACCTCCTTCTCCTCCTATCCAGAAAATCTAAACAAGACCTAAGGTTTGGTTGGAATGGGTGGAATTGGATCATCCCATTGCCAAATCTCTATTGGAGACCTTCCTAAAGTTCTTCTGATTGCCAATTTATGTAATATATTTTGATTTACTTACTGTTTTATCACTACAAATTTAAGCTTATATTATTTTTCATGAGCTGTGCCTTCATGCAATTTTCCTCTATTTCTGACAATTACATTGTTTCAACGCATTATATTTCCCCCAAGAAAAAATCGTCAAAGTTGTTTTTAACATTTAAAGTTCAAGGTAGGTCGTTCAATGGAACCTATTCTCCACAACATTAAGGAAAAACATCCCTTGAAGTAAGCAGAAATGAAAGAGTTACATCCTCAACTTAAATCAAGTCAAAAGCTTTACTGCTTGACATCAAGCTTTCAAGCAGTAAAGCTTTCAGACAAACATAAATGAAAGAGTTGCATGCTGTCTTAATTAACGAGAGGTGTTCACACACTATTGCTTTGGAAGTTTGTCCTTCAAATATTTCAGAATAGCTTTGGTTCCCCGTCTAAAATTGGCCTCCTGATGCTGAAAAATCAAGGTAAAGAGAAAATCAGATGACGATTCATGAGCTAGACTCTACTCCAACAGAAAAAGAAAACATGAAACCACACCAAGTTTGGGAAACTTTAATGCTTCTGTGTTCAATTATTTTTAAGTATTGGCATGAACTACAGCTCAGCAGTAGTAGTTTTTTCAGCATTATTTCTTTTTATTGAATACAAAACCAAAGAGTTTATACAATGAACGGCAAAAAATTAATTTAAAAAAAAAATAAAGTGAGGATTTTCAAAATGAATACTTTCTTAAAGGATTTCCATCGAGTCTCAAAACCTGGAGGCTTGGTTCAAGCAGAACCTGGCAAAAAACCCATTATCTAAGAACAGCTTACTGAAACATAATCCGAACAATGACCACGGTAAAGGAAACCCGCACACACCCAAACAATATAAAAAGATGTAAGGGTCAGTGCTGAAATGTTATTGTCAGACAAGTCCAATTCAGTGAGAAATGTAAGGGTCTTAAGTCCCTGCATATGAATCACGACAAAGGATAGACTAATAACAGTTGATGTGTCAGAAGTGGAACAACAGAGGAAAAATATTTGATGCAGGCCAACAATTAGCATCAACAACACAAAACATGTGGTATAGTACAAACCTTAACATGTTTGGGTCAATCAGCATCGATACGCTGATTGATATTTATACGCGGTAACTACAAAGTGGGATATGGGAAACATAACCTTCTATTTTAGCATGTGAAAGCCTTCGGTGGAAAGCTCTAATTCTTTCTAGAAGGGATTTATACAAACCACAGCAGATGAAGGGCCACTAAATAAATTGCATCACTCAGCAAAATGAATTTAAGACAAATTTTCAACTTCAGATAAATGTCAGAACATTCACACGTGATTAATACAGAAAACAAGTAGTTATAGCAGTTATATAGTGGATGTTACTACACAAACCGTTAGTGAAGTCAGTTTATGCCAAATATCAAAGCGGTGGAATTGATGCTTAATTATCTTGCAAAACTTATTTGTAAGAACTCATAATAAGTGGCTCAGCTTAAAACAGAATATTCACCTCTGGGATTGATTGAAGGGAATTTTAGCCAAGTCCAGGATTTGCAGTTGACATAAGCTCATTATCTCTGGTGGGACTTCTCGTAGCTGCATTCGTCTGTCAATTCAACATAGAAGTAAGACAAATAGCAAATGTTGAAAATAATAATAATAATAATAATAATAGAAAATGCCAATAAAAACAAATCAATGTGTCTGTACTTTTTCATGTGCACATGCATCTCATTACTTTCAGAACACCGACCTCAAATAAAGCTCCTTCAAGTGTGGTAAGCTAGAAAATACCAGATTCTCTAATATTGAAGCGGCATTCCCACTTAGATCTCGTATCTGGAGCATAGAGATTGCTTGGAATTCATCGGAAGGAATCTATAATCAAGTAAATAAGAGATAGTTCAGCTCATACAGATGGAAATAGGAACATGCATGTGTTGAGATGCAGAAACAATTATTGGTATTAGTTTCATATGTCCTTGTATTCCCCTGAAAGTTTTACCTATAGCCAATCTAGCCTAGCAGCAAAGAATTGAAATATGCAACCCATTGCAGTAGTTTAAATGTCTTTAACACATGACCAATCCCACAATAATTGATTATTTCAATGTTCTTAGACAGAGATTCCGGTGCCTATCAATCCAATCATCTGATGCTTAAGCCACTTTAGATTGATGATCCATTATTGAAAGAACATAGCATTCAGTAACCAATTGGGCATATTTTATTTGCACATATCTAGGAGAAAATCATGAATTTAGACTTTTTTATCAGCACAAGCATGCATTACTCCCTCTATAGTTAAGGATTAGAAGGCTGGTGAAAAAGAATATTTGAGGGTGAAGAAAAATTTTATAGAACAGTTTTAATTTCATGTTTCTCCCAATGATCTTATGTATTTTGTACATGACAGAATCATTATTCAAACCTGGTTACCTGTCTTTGTGGATTATTGTCCAGCTTCAAACAATAAAGATTGGAAAGTGACTTCAAAATTGTAACTGGCCAGTCTTTAATATTGTTCCTCGATAAAAATTAAAGTGTGCAAATTTAAATACGAGTTACCAGAGAGTTGCATATCATCGGTTAAAAGAGATAACAATTTAAGAAAGCAGGAACAATCTGCTTTCCACCAAGCCAATCTGTCATTAGCTAAAAGTCAGGCAGAGATCATACATAATACGTCAAGGATGAACTCTAAAGTATAGTCTAAACTTCATGCCTACAGAATTGATCTCACAAGCAAAAGTCCTTTGGAAGCTTCAAGCAACAAAATTAATGTCTTTTTTTCTCAATTCACAAACATGGATGCACATATTATTTTACTTCATCCAAATCAAAATCTATACTTATAGAAGAAATGATAACTTATAGAAGAAACGATAACTAGAAAGCAAATACCTGAAGGGATAAACGTGAGCAGAGTTCAAGTGGCAGATCTTTGATGGAATTTCTGGAAAGGTTAACTTCTATGATTTCACCTGATTCCCATACTTCGGATGGGACAACACTTAAACCCATGCCCTCTAGATAGAGTTCCTGAAAGTACATGTACAAGATATGTTAGTTTTTAAATTGGATGCGAAGAACTTAGAGAGTGACTTTAGATGTGGATCATGGATTTAAATTGCGGTAACGGTCACGTTTTCGGTCGCATCGCGTTTGTTACGGTTGCGAATATAACGGAGATTTTCGCGGTCATTACGGCTATTGCGGTCGTGAATTTTTTTAAATTTTGCTCAACTTGTTATAAAATATAATAATTTTAATTATTAATCATTTAAACCTCTTATTTTATGATTTTTAAAGTAATTTAGATCATATCATGTGTTTTATTTATTTAAGAAAAAATATTTATAGTAAAATATTTATATTTAAAAATTTATTTATATGATAATTAAAAAATAAAAAGAGATAAATAAATATGTGAAAAATAAATAATTATAACAAATAATATATTTAATTATTTAATTACCGTACTCATCAAATTATTACCGAACTATATTATGCATAAATCAAATAATAAGTGATTAGGTATTCATAAATTAAGTAAGAGCATTATTATTTATGAGTCAAAAGAATTACTTTTTATGAATTTACAGTAAATTAAACTTGACAGCCTCCATGTTATGGGCGATTTTCAACAATAATAACATCAAGTCTATTTCCCATGTCTCTTGACTAAATTGTACAGACCCACACAACTTCTCATCCCTTCACCTTGCATTCAATAATTTTTTTTCTCCAAACCTTCATCCTCATCTCTCAGTTCTCTTTTCATTTGGTGTGTGCTATTTGCTTGTTTCTGTAAACCTCAAGTTTTACTCTCATCTCTTGTCTCTTATTTTAAGTCCCAGCAACTCTTGCCTCCTTCTATCAATGTAACATAGCCCAATTTAATCCCAAACACACAAAATCATGACAAATTTGGAAATTAAAAAAAAAAGATAATTTGAGTGTTGAATTAATTGTTTACTTTAAATTGCATATTTTTGATTTTGATTGAAGTTGAATTTGAGAGAATTGATTTTTTTGAAAGTTTAAGTTTTGTAAGTTTTTTTTTTCTGAATTTGTAAATTGATATTTATTTTCTTTCTTGTTATTTTTATTTTAAAATTTTAAACAAAATCAAATGAATTTTTTTTTGAATTTTTGAATGAAAATAGGAATAGCGGCAATAGCGGACCGCTATTGCCGCTATTCACCGTTATACCGCTATTCACCGCCGCGATTCATCCGTTATGGACGAGATTCAAATTGTCCTCCATTTTTTCTCCAATAGCGGTGGCGGATAGTGACGCGACCGCGAAATAGCGGCCGCGACACCGCTATCCGACCGCTATTTGAATCCTTGATGTGGATTGCTGAAAATGACATAGACAATACATGAAACTAAAAAAAATTTAGTGCTTATATGAATTTGAGATAACATTAGCT